CCGCCATAGGCGCGCCCGAACCGTTTATCGGTTCGCCGCGAATCGCGCTTGCACCAATTTATTTCCGGCTTTCAATTTTGCATTGTAGAAGCGTCATACGAGCCGTGTCCCACCAACCGAGATCGTCAAGTCCACCGGACGAACGACCGCGTCGAGCGTCACGGAAGCCAAGGCATAGTCATAGGCTATACGAGGTGTCTGTGACACATGCGCCTCTGAGGTGAGCCCATCAGGAGAAAGGCGGGGTGGGTTGGATGTTGAACAGCGCTGGGTGCCGCCGCGGGTACGCGGCGATCACGAGCTTTGGGTCGCTCTGTATTGATTGAACTATTTTACTGTGCAACGAGGCGCGCGCCCCCTCGGCCGTGCCTCCATCGGGGAGACCCTCCGCAAAAAGGCGCCTCCACTCAACGAGAGCCGCCGACCTCGTTCCTATGGTGTCATATATTTTTCTGAATCTTCCGCGCCGCCGAACCCGGTGTGAAGGCCACCCCAGCCACCCGGGGGCGACAGCGCACTACGACTCAGCGTGGCCACTTCCGCCGCCCTTACCGCAGTTCTGTCCACGCCGCGCCTGTCTGGGCACACTCTCTGTATGGAAGCTAAAATATCAGAGCACCGTGCAGCTGTGGCATGGGGAGGCGGCCCATTGTGCAGCCAGGCAATCGGCGTGGCAGCTCTGGGGATGGCTCCAGCCACCGCAGGCGGCTGCTCGGGCGCACACAGTGCGGCCGGCCAAGACCGGCACTTGCATGGCGGCGCGTTACACCATGACAACCAGCTGGAGCGGCGCGGTGAGTCGCCTGGCGCTGCGGACGCCAGCGTGCGCCGTCGACGCGGCCGCCAGCCTGGACGGCGCGACCCATGGTTTGACCGCCAACTGAACCGGCATAGCAGCTTCGTGGCGGCTTCCGTCGACCCCTGATGCGCGGCCCGCGAACGCTGGGTCGCTCAGCCCCCCGCTGCACAGGGCATCAGAACCAGACTCAACTTTTCATGCAGCATGGCGCACCGCCCAACGCACCTGTAATTCACCAACCCCCATCCTCAGTCCTGCCAGGCGCGCCTGCGTCCAGCAGCGACGACGACTGCTGGGACCAGGGCGGCGGCGCCTCCGCGGGCGCCGCCCCCTACCCTTCTGAGCTTCTGGTGGTTGCGAAGTCAAACGCCGGCGTCTACATGGTTGACCGCTGCGCAGTGCGCTGCGCGTGCGCTGCGTGCGCGCCGCTGGGGCCGTCGCACCTGGTGTCGCCGACCGAGTTCGAGCGCCACTCTGGCATCCCCGCCGCCAAAAAGTGGCGTTTCAGGTGCGGGCACAGGCTTGCCATCCCCGCGCGTCGGTTGTGTGACGGGGGAGCAAACGACGGCGCTGCCCGACGGCCCCGCGATCACGAGCACACCAAAGCTCGGTGGCACGTGTGCTGGCGTGCAGGATCCCAGCTGCGGCACAGTCACGCGCGAGGCCATTCTTGGCCCCTTGCTTGTCCTGCACCCCTGGTGGCCCTCGCCTGACCGCCCCCATCCCGCGCTCTGGACCCCGAAAACGCGCGGCCCCGCCTCGCTCTGCCTCACAGCATCAAGGTGGCGCATCCGGGGGAGCCCGACGTGCCGCTCGGCCGCTGGCTGGAGGTCAAGGGGCTCGATCGCAGGCACCCCAAGCGCGCCCCCCGCGTCAGCCCACCGGGGCCCTCCCACGGCGCCGCCCCCGTCGCCGCCGCCGCGCGGGCGCCCGCCCCGCCGCGCGCGCCTGAGGGCGACGGCTCAGCCTCGGACGGCGGCGACGGCGGCGACGCTGACTGGATGCGGTCGCCTCGCAAGCCGCGCGGCGGCGGATGCGGGCCCACGGGGCGCAGCCCGCCGCCGGCGGCGGCGCCGCCGCCGCAGCCTGCCGGCGTGGCTCCCCCGGGGTCGCCTGGGGGCTCTGGCGACCACTCGTCAGACAAGGCATCAGACAGCGACGACGGCATAAGGATCGGCCCCGGCGCCCAGGCGTCGATCCCCGAGTGGCGCCCGCGCCCCTCGCTCTCCGGCGGCGCTGCGGGCGCAGCCGCCGCGGCCGCGGTCGCGGCTGACCTGGCGCGCGCCGGGCCGAGGGGGCCGTCCGAGGCGGCGGCGCTGCTTATGGCTCTGCAGGTGCGGCCGGCCACACCCCCCTGCCTGCGGCGCTGCCTTAGCCCAGACCCGCACCGCGTTCGCGCCACCACCTTGCTGCTTGCGACGCTCGCCCACGACCGCCCCCGCCCGCGCGTTGCGCGCCCCCGCGAGCCCCGACGGCCCCGCCCCCTCGTCTTCCCCTGGTTCTTGCGGATCCCGCAGGAGCGGGCGCGCGCCGAGTCGCTGCCGCCAGACGCCGTTGATGACTTGTGGGAGCGGCGG